GCTTCTGCTGCTTTCCTTGCATGAAGCCAAAAGTCTCTCTCTCCCTGTGAGAACAGAGCTGGAGACGGTATCCTGCGATCCCAAATAAAAGATCGATCGATCGGTAGGAAAACGGGGTGGGGGATTTTCCTGCAGACTTTTTGGGGGGATTTTCCCAAGGTCTCTGATCCGCGGGATTTAAAATTATGAGTTTGGTGGTCCCTGAGGTCTAAAAGGTTGGCGACCCCTGTCCTGTCTGAGGGGTTTCCTGGCGCTGGTGGCTGCTCCTCCTCTCCCTGCCTCCCAAGGTCCTTTTCACCTCCAATCAGGGATGCTCTCTTATGCTGAGAAACCTCTATTTCTTGTCCCAAAGGTGCTTTTTTTCCCCCCCCAAGAGGCAATTGGACTTTCTGGTTTTTTTTCTTTGAAGACGTTCCGCTTCGCATCAGAAAAGCTTCTCCGGCTTTGTGTTGGGGTTTGGACTGAAGAAGATCCTTGGATGAGAAGCGAAATGTCTTTCAAAGAAAAACCCAGAAAGTCCAGTTGCCTCTCGGGGAGGGGGGGGGGAGAAGCACCTTTGGGACAATCGTGACCTGGATGATGGAGAATCTCCTTAGGCCTCTATTTCTTGATAACCCTCGTTCTCTGATGAGAGACAATCAATCAGAATACAGCTGGGAGGGACCTTGGAGGTCTTCTAGTCCAGCCCCCCTGCTCAAACAGAAGACCTTATATAATTCCAGACAAATGCTTCTCCAATCTCTTCCTTGAAAACCTCCAGGGATATTGAAGCACCCACAACTTCTGGTGGCAAGCTGTTCCACCGGTCAATTGTTCTCACCGTTAGGAAATTTCTCCTTAATTCCAGGTTGCTTCTCCTACTGATTGGTTTCCATCTGTTCTTTCTTGTCCTGCCTTCAGGTGCTTTGGAAAATAAGTTGACCCCCACCTCTTCTTTGGGGCAGCCCCTCAAATACTTGAATATTGCTATCGTGTTACCCCATCCTAGTTTTTCTGGGTGTGTTAACCCATTCCGGGCTAGACACAATAATAGAATGACAGAGTTGGAAGGGGCCTTAGAGGTCTTCTAATCCAGCCCCCCCGATCAAGCAGGACACCCTAGCCCATTTCAGACAAATGCCTATCCAGACTCTTCTTCAAAACCTCCAGTGGTGGATCACCCACGATTTCTGGTTCCTCCGATTACTTGTTCTTACAGTCAGGAAGTTTTTTCCTTAATTCCAGCTTGCTTCTCTCCTGGATTAGTTTCCATCCATTGTTTCTTGTCCTGCCTTCAGGTGCTTTGGACAATGTGACACACACACCCCTTCCTCTTCTTTGGGGCAGCCCCTCAAATACTGGAATACTATCATGCTCCCCCTTAGCTATCATGTCACACACACACACACACACACACACACCCATCCAAGCAGCTTCATCAGCCAGAGAAAGCTAGTCAGGGAGAGAGTCGTGGGAATGGACCAATTCCTTCGATCCAACCTTTGCAGGGAAGGACTGAGAACCCACACATCGCAATGCGTTTCGGGGAGGAGACACACACACACACACACACACGAGGTGGGCGTGGTGCCCTCCCTCTGCCCAGCTAACTTGCTCTGGGCGTTGAGGCTGTTTGGATGATGAGCAGTGAAAGGTCTCAAAATCACCCAAAATGATTGTCCGGCTGCCGTGACCCCAACCTTCAGATATGAGAGGAAGCAAGGGACCATTCTAACGGATGGACGCCATGCTCAGACCAGGCGCTGGGGAGGGAAGGAGGGTCGGCAGCCTCCTGTGATGACCCGGGGCGTGACACAAAGGCAACACCGTCGCATCAGTAAGAAAAGTCCCTTTCATACCTCCAACTTTGCCCCCAATGTCCGGTTACCTTCGGCTGGAGAAAAAAAAACTCTCCCAAAACCAGTCTTTAATTGGAGGAAATTCAGTCCGAAAACAAAGTACATAAAAACTGTAACTAAAAATCCACACAAACCATGCTGCAGCAATTAATTGGGCAGGGCATGAGAAGGAATTGCAGACCTCAAAGGCCAACAAAACACACACAGTTGGGAAGACGCCAGGAACACAGATAAGCCTCGACCATAAAAGATAACTCAGATTTGCTTTCAACAAGTTGCTGTACGCAAACTCCCTTTTTAAATACTGTGTTCCCAGCTGCAGCTAATGAAGGGAATCGGGGCCCTTTCCTCCCCCATAAGCCATGCAACTCACGTTGCTCCCTTCTCCATTCCTCCCTGCGTGCCCTAGGATGAAGAGGGGGGTGGGCCTGGGTCTTCCAACAAATTTCCTCTGCCTTGTTCTACCTCTTCCCTGCTCTGCCCAGCTGGACTTTGCCCTTCCCCAGTTTCTTCCACAGCCAACGGAGCCACACTCCCGCTTGCTGTCAGCTGCTCGGCCTCCCCCTTGGAATCAGATTCCAACAGGGGCATGACACCTCCACTCCCCAAGCCTGCTGCTTTCTTCGCCACCTCTGGCCACGCGGGAGGTGGAAAAAAAAAGAGACCCAATGAAAAGCCCCAAGGAAGAAAAAAACGTCCCTCTAAATCTCAGTTCCCTCTAAATCTCAGTTTCTCAACCTCAGCCAATTCTCTGCCAGCTGAAGATTCCCCACCTCTTAACCTCACTGGGATTGAAAATGTTGCCCTAGAGATCAGCCCCCGCCCACCCACCCCCAAAGCCTATACAGGCAGTCCTCACCGTATGACCACAATCTCGAGCTCAACATTTCCATGGCTAAGCAAACATTCCTTGAACTTTGTGCAACCTTTCTGGGCCCCCGTTATGAAGTGAATCACCGCCGTTGTTAAACCAGTCTGGATCCCCCCCCGTGGATTTCACGTGTCGGAAGGTCGCCCAAAAGGGGGGAATCACGTGACAACCCCCACCCCACCCCACTCCAGTTGCCAAGGGTCTGGATTTTGGATCGCGTGAACGTGAGGATGTTGCAGTGTGAAAACTGGTCGCAAGTCGTTTGTTTTTTCCCCCCTGGCATTGTAGCTTCCCAATGGTCCCTAAGCGAACAGTTGTTAAGTTGAGAACTACCTGTGCACATTTTCTCCAGGGAAGGGGAGACGGGACCGTCGAAAGCAGCCAAGGAAGTGGGTGCTTTCCCAGGGTCTCTCTTCCTGCCTCCCACTCCCTCCCTGTCCCAAACCAGAGAGACCTGCAGACCAGACAGACCTGCAGGTTTGATGCTTACCCAGATCATGTATTTGATGATGCGGCTTGTGGCCACGGTGTACTCTTCTATCAGCTCTGCCAGGTAGTACAATCCAGCCGCTGAGGGAGGGAGGGAGCAGGGAGGAAGAGGAGAAACACCCAACCATTAAGCCGTCCTGCCATGCTGCCTAACCTGCAGTCAGCTCCCCTGCAAGGGGAGGCCAAGGCCCAATTCCTCCCGCATCCCTGGCTGGACAGGCAAGGAGAGCAGCCTCCAATGCGGCCGACCTGTCCCTCCAAGCGTCCATCTCGGCCGTAGGATGGGAGGCAGGAGCGAAGGGAGAAGGCCACCGCCCTGCCTCTCCCCCCAAGCATGAAAACCACCACGCAGCTATTGCTAGCATGACATCTGCCCTTCCCACCTGGATATTGGCAGGAGATAAGAGGGTGGACAGAGTGATGGAGAGAAAGAGAGACAGAGAGGTAGACAGATCTAGATAGATAGATAGATAGATAGATAGATAGATAGATAGATAGATAGATAGATAGATAGATAGATA